TTGCTCTCTCGGGCTCCGGAGCGCAGGCCTGCGGGCAGCGCCCACCCTCCCAGCCCCTGCGCAGCCCTCGCTGCCCGCACCCCACGGGGTGGCTTTGCCCTCCGGGGACTGGCACAGGATCCTGGCAGGTGACAGCTCTTCCACCAGTGCTGTCCCTGGAGTCTCCCCGTGACACAGGAGCCATGCTGGAACGCAGAAAGTCAACAACTACCTGAGTCAGTAGCTTCAGAGTGCTCCTGGCTCTCGGAGCGGCAGTACTTCCCAAACGCCTCCTCCTTGGGAATGTCTGGGTACAGGTACACCAGGGGGGACACCAGGATGTTGGTGGCATCCATGATTTTGTAGCCCATGATGATCTCCGCAAATGACATGTTGTTCAGCTGCTGCTTGGTGTAAGGCTCCACAGACTGGATCTGGGTCTTCCCTGCACAAGGAGACTTTTGACACAGGGCAAGACACCTGCGTTCCTCAGGGAAAGGCAGGGCCTTTCTCCAACACTCCAGGAGCGGCAGGGACAAGATGGGCCTGGGGCTGTGCTCAGCCTCACGAGGCACCCAGCAGACCACAGGGCAGGATGGGGACCTGCCAGGTGGTTCAGGGCCACAGAAAATGGCACCCTACGGGCAGCACATGGGCAGGGGCACCCAGGAGGCAGAGACCAGCAAAGGGCACCCAGGCTCAAAGATTTAACCTAGGGAGAGGGCTTGTTAGGACAAGGACAAATGTCTTATTGAGGGTTCCAAACCCCTTTTGGAGCCAGGAACGCTGTCTGAGCAAGGCAACGTACCACTGATGTCCTTCTCCACCCACGTGAAGGTGATGCCACCTTCCTTGCTGCTCTCGCTGAACCGCAGCAGGAAGGTTCCCGGAGGCTTGGTGCTCAGGATGGCTCGCTCCCGCTCCTTGCTGATGAACCCCATTATGTACCTGGGCATCAGGAAGCGAGGAGAGCAAGGGTGGGTCAAGATACCACAGTAGCTCTTCCAGGGTGTGAACCCTGCCATCTCTCTATGCGGCATCAGGCAGCAGCAGGGCCTGGCCACCGGCAGGGCCACCGGCATTTTAGGTATTCCTAGATGCCAGGGAGGGTTTTCACTCTGAACCAGCCAATAGGACCTGGACAGAAAAAGCATCCCAGGCGAGCCCACCTGCACCTGGAGAAGGTACTCCAACTCCATCAGGACACAACTCGTGGGACCCCTCCCAAGACCCAGCCCAACCAAGGGTCTCTGGACCGACACTGGCCGAGGCTCACCCTTCATTCCACAGCGCCAGGATGTACTTTTTCACCAAGTCAATGATGTTGTCCAGCCAGACCCAGAAAGAGAAGCCTTTTCCAGCCATGTTCTCCTGAGGAAGAGGGCAAAGAGGTTGTGAGCATGGCTTGGAGGAAGGGAACAGCCAAGGGAAGGCGCTCGGGGGAAGAGAGGGAGTTATACCTTGCAGAACTTGGCCCAGGTGATCTGACAGCCAGAGTAATTCACACCTGGCCCTGGCAGAGAAGAACAGGAGCATCAACATTTAGATAGAGCTGTTCTTCAACAGCTGGGGGACAGCAGGGATGGGCAGGACACCCACGCCGAGTTACCTAGAAGTTTTTCTGCCAGTGTTGTCAGCTGCTCGATGCTGAGGCCACGCTTCGTGGTAGAGGAGAACTGCCAGCTCAGGACCTCTGCCACCTGGTCCCAGGTCCCAATGGGGGGCTTGGTGAAGAAGTTCACGTTCTGCACAAGGGAAAACACAGCCCCAAGCAAGACATGGGACAGAAGCAGGGCCAGGTCCTGCCCCAGCCCTGCTGCCAGACCACAGCTTCCCTTTCCCTGCCTGCAGCGACACTCTGGTCCCAAAGCCTGCACTGCTGCTCTTGCCAGCCATCCCCTCCGTGCCGGGCCCTACCTTGGGGTTGTTGGTCAGCATGTTGTACCACAGGATGGACGCCCAGGCATTGGGCATCTGGCAGATGTTGGAGATGACCACCACAGGCAGCGAGTGGGTCTGCAAAGACAGGACGTGACCACAGGCTGGGACACCTCTCAGGGCTCCTCTGCACGCAGGCCCATGGCAGCGAGAGGCAGTGACCCACAGCTCACCTCCAGGTCGATCTTCAGCCCCTGGTGATAGACCTCTGTCTCAAAGGTGATGAGGTGCAGCTCCTCGGTGACTATCAGCGAGGCCTAGGGTGGAAGAGGACATGTTGAGCACACAGGAGATGCCTGCCCTCAGCCTGACACACGGCCCAACGCTGCTGCTCAGGTCTGGGTGGAGAGGGCTGGTCTGGCAGCTGCCAACACACCAGAGGGATGCCTGCGGATAACCCCTTCTCGGGGCAGGGCTCCCACCTCCCCTCATGGCTCAGCTGCTCGACAGGGAGAGAGACAGGGAGCAGAGCTGCCAGCAAAGGGCTCTCCTAGCCAGGGCTCCCCCGGCACTTACGTCGCAGTTGGCTCTGCCTCCGTTACCGCACCGCTGCTCCCGCAGGGTCTGCGAAGAGACGGAACAGGCTGAAGCAACACTCTGACAGCAACACAGCCTTACCAGGAGCAGCCCGAGAGCTCGTGGTACCTACCAGGTGCTTGAACTCTGCTGAGAGGCTGCCATTGTTCGACTCCTCCATGTTCATGACCTTGGTGTTTGTCCCCAGGATGTTAAACTTCCGGGACCTCAAAAGAGGAAAGACAGAGCATGGCTGACGGGGCCCTCTCAGAGCGAACGTGCAGTAGGACTTTTGCCAAGATTAAAAGCAGAAGCAAGAAAAAAACCAAAACTGAAACAAAACATTGCACTTACCCCCGAAGTGCTGCAACATCCCCAGAGTCCCTAGGAAAGGAGAGAGAGACACACAGTCATGGCCACCTTCCCACCCTGACACAGACATGCTGGTGTGTGGGGCTGGCTGCATCACAACACTGAGTCCCACAAGCCCCCCAGGCTGTCCTCCCACATGGGAACGAATGCTTGGGACCCAGCACCACCCTACATCCTCCCCTTCTACCGGGGGTGACACTGGCCCTTGGTGCAGGGATGGAGCCTGACCCAACAGCAGCAGAAACCAGTCCCACTCCAGTAACCCCATCCAGTGTTGCCAAGATCAGAGCACAGAACTCACTTGTCAATGCAGACTTTAATTTTCAGCTGATAATTCAGCTCTGGAAACTTGACCAACAACCTGCAAAGAGTCAGCAGAGGCAGAGTGTGAGCGTGAACATCCTGCACACACAAACAACTCCAGCGCAGCATCTGGCACAGACCGCAAACCAGCTGGATGGACAGCAGTCCTGTGTGCATCCCCAGCAGGTAGCACCACGGTTCACACCACAAAGCCCACGAGGATGCAGCATTATCCAGCTCCTCTGCCATCCCCGAGCCCATCTGCATGCAGGTCTGTGACATGTCAGCCCCAACACTTGTCCCCAGCACTGATGCTCCCCCGAGTCCCCTGAGGAGGGCTCGTTTTGGCTGCTGACTGCGCACACCAGGCAGGAACTTGCTCTGAACGAACACCCTCTGCGCTGCTCTGTGGCCAGATGCTGCCACATGCCAAGGGGGCAAGGGGGGCACAGCTGGGAGACTCTGAACAAGCTCCAGGCAGAGCCTGGTGTCAGAGCAGCCTCTCTCTGCAGAGGTTGGCAGGGGACATGGGCCAGCTGAGAGGCAGCTGGCCAGGGACGCGCTGACGCTTCCTGCCGCCCACCCCCGTAGCAGGATTTACCAGAACCCCGGCTGCCTCCAGGAACACGGCAGAGCCCCAGCCAGCTGCCGCCATCCCCGCACTGAGTCATGCAGGCGGCACTCCAGCAGGGCCAGCCTGCTGGGATTCATTCCCTCCCAGCACCAGCACTCCCCAGGCAAGCCAGAGGCTGGATCCACACCATTTCCTTCGCAGAGAGATCCTGCTTTGCTTTCCCCCGCAAGGCTCCTTTCCCCCACCGGCGTCGCAGCGGGATCGCAGGGGCCAGCGACGCACCTGACTTTGGTGGTGAACTGCACGCCAGTTTTGATGACCAGGGGCCGGTCGGGGTGCATGGGCATGCAGGGCTGCCTCTCCACGACGAAAGCGCTGCGGGCAAAAGACAAGAACTGCAGTCAAACCTCAGGCCTGGCCCAGTCCACTCGCTGCCCACCCCTCCACCCACTGCCTGTGACCAGGGGACTGCCCGCAGCTCCCTCCCAGCCCTCGGCACCTTTTCATCAGATTCCTAAACAGCTCCACGATCCGCTCCTCCAGCATGGGCCGGTGTTGGACGATTGGATCGCCCTTGTAGGATACTTTCTGCTGCAGTTCTTCCAACTTCTTGATTTGTTGCCGGGTCTGGAGCTGTGATTCGGCAAGAGAGGTTATCCTAGGGGAGCAGGAATAACCAGCGTTAGCGCTGGCTGCCGGGCCCTGCGCGGTCCCGGCCCGCAGAGCCCTCCCGTTCCCTCACTTGTGCGAGGGAGGATGCTCTCTGTACCAAACCAGCAGAGAACAGAACACGTTCACGTCTCCTGGCTCAGTGCATTTTTCCAGGCCATGCATTACAAAAAAAACCTGCACTCGCCCAAGTTCTGCAGAAACACACCAGGAACAGGAACTTCTCACAGCAGCCCTAAAACAGTGCTAACCATTACAGCACTAGTGCCCAGTACCGAGGATCAGTACAACTAGCGGAGTACATTTATGCTTGCAGGCATCAGAAGCCATTTTGCAAGGATGAGACAAAGAGCTCATTTCCACTGCAGGTGTTTGATTGCCACCTCTCTAGGGACCGATGCAACCCCCAGCCAGCTCCTACCAGTTCTCAAGCCGGTCTAAGCAGATATTCGGTGGGCCACCAATGCAGGCGATCTGCTGCCGTCTCTTCCAGTCTGCCAGTTCCTCATCCGCCAGCATCTTCTGCACATACTCCATGGCTGATAGCAGTCCAGCCAGCTCACTCACAATACCCTGTCAAAAAAGAAAGCAGAACCTTCAACACCTTCTGACGCCCTCCAAGATCTGCAAGTTTCACATTCACAGACAAGAAACAAGTCACCCTGGGCTGTATCTCCAGTGCTGCTCTCAGTTCTGGCCATGCAGGAACACCAAACTCATGCCACAGTAAAAGGGCACCACCGCACCCCAGGGGGATCTGGAGGGCCAGCCGCGTGACGTACCCTTCGCATTTGATCCAGCGCCGTGAGCATCTGTTCCAGCTGCTGCATTTTCTGCCGGGTCACCGACTGATTGTTTCCATTCAGATCCTGCATGTCTGTGCAGAGAGGTGAGAAATGTTCAGCCATGCACATGGACTCCTGCCCTCCCAAGCATCACACAAACAAAAGACTTCCACTGCAAAGGAGCAGGCACCCTAGAAGGCAGCAACCTCACACAGCCGCTAAACACCTTGCTGGCTTTCGGGCATGCACAGCAGCGCTATCACCTCCACGTGCCATTTCTCTGCTCACTGGCAGAGCTCTGGTTCAGCTCCCCTGGAGGCAGCGTCAGTGGCCGAAACAAAACACAAGGTTTCTCCAATTGCCACGCAAATGCCCTGAGCCTAAGCCACCCTTCTTGCTTGGAGAGGAGGCTCTGGGAGGGCTGGAACACACCCTCCAGCAAGTTCCCGTGCAGGAACACACTTTGGTTTGTCAGATGCTAATGAGCTTCCATTACCTCCTTGGCTTTTCAAAGTCTTGTAGTTAAAATCAAAGTCATCCTGGAGATTCTCCACCACTTTCATCTTCTGCTCCAGATCCTGCAAGGCAAGAGATGTGGATTTATTCAAAGCATTAAATCAGTGGGGTGGGGAAAGGAGAAGGTGCCTAGGCAGCACACATACCTGCACCCTCTTCCTCACATCCTGCAGATGCTGCTCCAGCATCTGCTGCTTTTCTGTCACTACAGCTGCTGTTGGATGTGTCGCCTGTCCCCCTTGCTGCAGAGGGGACAAGGAAGGCATTAGAACAGGGCCACGACCCAGGGGCGCTCCCCTCCCAGCCTGAGGAGGTTTTGCAGGAAGGGTCCTCACACCCCCCTCCACTAACAAAAGCCAGTGTCGCTAGCCACTCGCTCGCAGCATTAGCTGCGGGGCTGCCCAGCAAGCTGCATGGTGGAGGGCACACCCCACGCACGGGGCGAGAGGAGAGACGGATGCTCAAAGCTAACAGCCACCCCAGGCAGAGAGCACCAAGGCTGCATCCTGGTGGGAAGCAGCTGTGGGCCAGAGAGCAGAAGTTATCAGCCCCTGCAACTGGACCATCCCTCAGCACAAAGCAGCTATTGTCACCGAAGGAAGCAAGTCGGGGGCTTTGGGCTGGAGCTTCCCCACAGCACCAAGTACCCATGCAGTGCTGCCGGGCAGGTGACGGGACACCCGAGCCACTTACCTGGGCTGCGGTGGCAGCTGTCTGGAGGAGCCGGGACTCTTCCCACAGGCAGCGAGCCACGATGCGGGCTATTTCCATCGGCTTCTCCAGGTATCTGCTCTGTAAGAGGTTCCAACCCCCAAGGTTAGCAGGCACAATGTAACTCCTGGGATCTCCGCATGCCGTAGGGCTATGGCTCTTCCACAGGCTCCCCCCACAGCCCCCCTCCCAAATCAGTGCTTCCCGCCTCACCTGCAGGAACTGCTTGATGCGCCGCAGGTTGTGCTGGTACAAGACGTTGGACTCCTGCAGGAAGCGGCTGTACTGCTGGTCGATCTCCCCCAGCAGGTTGTGGAACACCAGCGTGGCGTGCGACTCCTTGCTGGCGGCGTAGGCCCTGCGCGAGGGAGGGCAGAGTCCTGGGTGCCCAGCACAGGGGAAGGGGCAAGGCAGCGCCGCAGGCAGGGCGGCTCTGCTCACACCCGCCGTCCCCTCTGCGGTTCGACATCCCAGCCATCTTTCTAACCTGCACCAGAGCAGGGGCTAGAGCAGCCCTGACTTGCTTCACACCAATAAACTGAGCCCTCAGACTGCACCCACAAGGGCAGGACAACAGAGAGGTTTTGGTCTCGGGCTTACAGTCTGGCCTTAAGCCAGGCACACAGCACACACGAGCACCTCACCAGTTCCACGTGCTCTCTGGACGGGATCCAGGAACTGGTGCTCTGTGTCAACCTCATTTACAACAGAGGCCACTGTAAGTCAGCCCTGGACGTGGACACCTCTGCTTTGGAGCTGCCCCTTCTCCTGGTCTGGGGTCTGACACCATGCGCACAGAGTCTCCGCTCCCCTTGGTGCCACACAAGCCTCGGGAAGGAAGACCAGTCCTGCCGTGTCAAGAGCCCAGGGAAAGCGGCAAGAGCTCCTCCAGACCTGCTGCCTCCCCTGAGTGGGTGTCCCGAGCAAAGTTTCCACTTCAACGCTTTGTAAGGCCTTACCAGTCCTGGCTCTCAATCCATGGGGCCAGGAACTGCCGGAGCTCCATGGGAAAGCTGTCGCTGTAGAGCTGGTGGAGCTGCTCCAGGTAACGCGTGTCGAGCTGCTGCAGCTGGTTCCACTGCGCCATCCTGGCCAGCTCCGGAGACCTGGTGGGACGGGCACACGTGCTGCTCAGAGCCGGTACCTGGGAGCCTCCAGGCTACCCCCAGCCACAATCGCTGCTGCCCTTTGGGGAGGGCTGATGGGGCCAGAACCAGAGACGGCTGGGGCACAGCGCGCCCAGGGCACGCGGCTCCAGGGAGGGTGCTGGCGCAGGCAAGGGCCAGGCAGTGCCCGTCCC